GGACCTCGGACATCTCCCCAGACATAGTGGATACAACATCCACCCTACAGACACGGCCTAGGCTGCGTTAGGGACCTGTATGGGTGAAGGGGCGAGCACTTACTAACAGTGACAACGACATCACATTTCAGGGGACGTTAAAGACGTAAATATGACTTCACTCAGAGCATATCAACTACGTTACTGTAACACTTGCACAATCAACTATTAATTGGGTCAAATCACTTAAAGAAGGGCGAATTACAACACAGAGTGGAATGGCATACCTGTATGGATGAAGGGACGGGCACTCACTAACGGTAGAAATGCCCGCGGGGCCCTCACTCAAAACAGGCCAGGGAGTCCCAGGGAGTCCAGCTACTCCTATTCCGATGAATTAATTTACGGTACACTCTGACGTTAAATTGAGACTATGAACTCATTTTCATTCTCTACTATTATCTTCACTAACAATGCTCTGACTCAGCTATCGAAAGCAAAATTAAATTGATTACAAAGGAATGGATGGCAACAGGTCCCAGCATACAGCGTCTGCTCCCATAGACAAAGGCGGGGGAAACAGAGAAAACGGGGGACGTTTCCACTGGGGGACTCGGAAGGTTTTGTGGACGTTTGAGCGTAATATGAATCCTTAAGGTTTTCAGGTTAGCTCTTATCATGACCATTACAAAGCTTCCTCCTTCCCCAAGATTCATCATTATGCGGTAACGTTCAGAAAACACGTAAGTAGTGACATACATATTAAATCATTAATATAAAGTATAAATCCTCATACAAACATTGCACAAATTATATCAATAAAAATAGAAAAATAATTCCCTACCGGTGGTCAGGATTAGGTACAAGAAATGGAAATCTGTTAACATACAATTAGAATGTGACACACCTTCATAAAAAATATATTGGGATACATATTACAAAATAGCACCAAAAATAATAGCACATGGGGTTAGGTACATCATGTCATAATAATACTGAATGGCGGTAAATACATCATATCATATAATAATAAATGGTGTTACATACATCATATCATATAATAATAAATGGGGTCAAGTACATCATCATAGAATAATAATGATTTGAGTTAGATACCTCATATCAATAATAATAATAATATGGTGTTACATGTTACAAAATACACCCTCACATCGGTAGATAAAATGCACACTCAAAATTTCCTTACAGAACTCAAATTTCAATGTTCATAGATTATGAAAGTTTCTTTTACGCGATTGGTCAAATGCTGACAGGACACACTGAGATTTAACATAGATTTCTCAAGCTAGGACATAGACGAACGGACCCCATCAAGTCAAAGGAATGATTTGTTGCCCTTAATCTAAAGAGTTATGTCGCACTCGCGAGAGGCAGCACCCTTCAAGGGACTCCGAACGAGCGGGTATTCCCAAGAATTCAATGCTAACGAAACGGTCCTCATGAGAACACCACCAAACCAAAAACTGTCTGTACTTATGGCATTTGCCATGTAGAAGTAATAGCACCATATTTATATGCCCGAATACTCCCTGAAAGTCACGAACTCTACACCTATATACCAACAACACCCAGCCTACGTAGGACTTACCAACCAGAACTTGAGAACTCACCACTGGTATCTTTACTCATACTAGTAACAGATACCCTTCAGATGATTGCATAACTGCCAATCCATCTTCCAATCTCTGTCTTTACTGCAAATTGACCCTTCCTCTGCAAAATACTTTTAACCCCCCAAAAAAAACATCCTCCATTTTTTTTTTCTTCTTCAATTACCAAAAGTTACCTACAACAGATTGTGCACTTCACTACCCATCAACAACCAAGGAGGTTCACTTACAAAGCCCACTGTTTCTTAAAGATCCAGTCTAACCACTGGTTTTCTCCTCCTTTACCCATGGCTTTAGCGAGTTTAGCCAGAAGAGCTTGGACTTTTGTTGCTAAATCAACAGCGGCTTTGGCCGTCATGGTCCCCTTATTTGCGTTAGCATCTGCCATTGTGTTACAACAAATCAATACTACAGGTATATCCCACTGTAAATACAATACATGCACAGTGCTCACTCAAGACCCAAGGACTGGTACTGATTTTCTGCAATACGACTAACACTCCATGCATCAACTATTCAAACTACTGTTCAGATTATTAATCTCCCCAAAGATAATATTATGGCATCAAAAATTCACTTAGACACTTTGCCATTCACAGACTCAGTATGGTGCAACACTGCGTGAACACTTCACGAATTTCCGTACTCACAATTCTGGGTCCATACACTCGTATAACATTTTCCATATACCGTATCACCATAAGGTCCTCACATATATAATACTGTATTCTGAAAGTATACTGGCATTAGAGTTCACATAACATACGTTACACAAAATAATGACCCGTTAGCACCTGGTTAAAATAACTTTAAATTATAGCGTATACATAGGAATATTAATAGTAGGAACTGTAAAATGCCCCGAGATATAGTGCAATGCTTCTGTTAGCACTCAGAATTAAAACACTGGGCACTCCCACGATGGAACATTTCACAACTAGTGCCACGGCCCAAACATGTATTCACTGTCTGTAAGTAATACTGAGTTAACAACAGAAAAAAAAATTTGGGCAGATTGTTACATATCAAAATTCTTCCACTATTAATGAACCTTATTCACACTCTACAAGTTATTGTTGCAGGTTTCCTTTTACTTTAAACAAGACTTTTCTAACCTAACTCCAAGGTATTTCTTTGAACTTATTTCACTCTCTCTGCAAACCACCACAAAAAGCTGTACCTCGGAAAAATATGGAACAAAATTATTAGCAATCTGAAATACTCATTAGTTACAGTGGAATGGTTATTAAATACCCGTACAGAGAAATGGTTATAACTCAGTTAAACTACAGTATCACAGTCATTCCTCCCAACTCGATACTATGTTCATTACATCACCATAGCTGCCACCATTTATGAGGGCTTGAGCTGCCACCATTTATGAGGGCTGCTACTGCCACCCTTCATGAGGGCCTGTGTGCCAGTAACAATTCCTTTTACTCTTATATATCACCATTGGTAGCGTGACGATAGGAGGCTCGTGGGTAGGTGTAATGATAGTATCAAGCAATAGGGAAGAAATAACGGTAAATACTGTAGGTAAATAATATACACAATTATACAAATACAAAGTTTATTTAAACATGAATATGAAATTAGAAGAAAAAATTGGTTTGTACTAACAGACGAAATCTATTACTAGGCCCTCAGGCTCAACATACTCACACCATTACTGGGTGGACATATTCAATACACTTCCAACCCTACTGGGTGGACATACTCAATAGCACAACTATGATAGTCACTTAGCACCATAAATACTAGGCAACTGCCACTACAACACTCAGTCGTCAGGAGTGATACTCAAGCAACAGCCATGGGGTCCAGCCACCATGGAGTACTATCCGACGAACTCTGGAGATCCCAGTGGGTTAATTCCACCACACAAATATAGCCCTACTGAGGTAGACACTCATCCACCAATGATGGGGGCTGGTAGTGGTGTGTGGCTTGGTGGTCCGGGTCACCTCGTGGACCGAGCGTTAGGGCCAGACGAGCCAGCTATGGGGGCTATAGGTGGTCTGAAGTGTCTGACGGCCGGGTCTCACGAAGGTAACTGATCCTACTGGACCTCGGACATGTCCCCAGACATAGTGGATACAACATCCACCCTACAGACACGGCCTAGGCTGCGTTAGGGACCTGTATGGATGAAGGGACGGGCACTTACTAACTGGTGACAACAACAACACGTTTCAGGGGACGTTAAAGACGTAAATATGACTTTACTCAGAGCATATCAACTACGTTACTGTAACACTTGCACAATCAACTATTAATTGGGTCAAATCACTTAAAGAAGGGCAAATTACAACACAGCGTGGAATGGCATACCTGTATGGATGAAGGGACGGGCACTTACTAACGGTTAAAATGCCCGCGGCGCCCTCACTCAAACTAGGCCAGGGAGTCCAGCTACTCCTATTCCAATGAATTAATTTACGGTACCCTCTGACGTTGAAATTGAGACTATGAACTCATTTTCATTCTCTACTATTATCTTCACTAACAATGCTCTGACTCAGCTATCGAAAGCAGAATTAAATTGATTACAAAGGAATGGATGGCAACAGGTCCCAGCATACAGCGTCTGCTCCCATAGACAAAGGCGGGGGAAACAGAGAAAACGGGGGACGTTTCCACTGGGGGACTCGGAAGGTTTTGTGGACGTTTGAGCGTAATATGAATCCTTAAGGTTTTCAGGTTAGTTCTTATCATGACCATTACACCAAGAATCAGATTCCTCAAATTAATAACTGTAGATGTTTTGTCTCCATTTAATACAGTATGAAGATAATTTGTCGGGTTATTGTAAGTAGTCTCAGACAAGTTATTGGCACCACAAACGATTAAAATTTTGTGCCATAGATATTCTGATCCTGTCAGATGTCTTTGCACATCATCAGTAAGGAAAACAACTTAACCTATGGATGTTTAAGAATATTGACCTAGAGATGTGGCAGGGCAGGAGAAACCTACCGTTGACAGATGGACGCTTCTCGCCCGAGCGGGAAGTCTTATCTGTGCTGCCATTAACACTGACACCTCCCCCTCCACCTCCACCACTGCCTCCGCTGCCACCCACACCAACACTGCCTCGCTCTATGAGGATGGCAATGGCTTGTTCCAGGGTGTCGAGCGTATGCTGGTTGGGATCTGTCTCCCTGGAAAGAGAGTTCATAGGTCAGAGACATATCATATTCAAACTAAGACAAACAAAGGATGTGATGTGTACGTGATTGAGAAGTTGACTCAGGAAGCATGGCAGGGAGGTACATCAGACTCAAGCAGTGTTGGCATAGTTCATGTAATAGGAACAAAGGTAATTGACCTTTAGGATAAGAGAATTAGTAAGTAAACTCAACATGACAAAATACCCATGTGAATGGTGCGGTTGGGTATGCACAACCCCAAGATGGAATTCCCGATCGTCTGCTGTGATCAGCAAGAAAGTGAATGGACTTATACATCAACTCAGTGGAGAGTTTCAGGAAATGACATGGGTGGGTGGCAGTATAAGTACTGCTAGACATAAGATAAAGGCATGGAAACATCATGATGGGTATGATATACCCCGCCACATCAACTTGTATAATAAAGAGCATTACAGTGAAAATTCTTGTTGCTTATACTGTAGTGTACTGAATAAGGGTTATCTTATTGAAGGTCTGAAATGCTCTCAAAACCAAACAGATAAATATTTATAAATCAAGTCAAATTTCAAGAAAACAGTGTACAGTACAGAACACCCCAAAACACCTATTTCATTGACAAATTTGGGAATTCAATGTAGTATGTGAAAACTTCAACAACCTATGATGATTTGTATAGCAATAATAATACAGTTATAATGTAAATTATTATATACTGTACTCACTGAGCACTGAAACATAGTCTCACTGTGTTCTTTCATATATTAGTAAACAGTGTTTAAAAATTGCTATTAAGCATAGTGATATACAATAATACCTTAAACCTGATAACACACATAGAATCTGGATGTCTTGCCATATGTCCAACTAATAACTCACCTGAAGTTACTCCTGAGAGAGACGATGGCATCCCTGACCAGCTGGAGGTCCTCCCTGGCAGTGGCAGGCACCCCAGCCCTCCCTGTTGGGCTCTCTCCCACACCTACCACTCGCTTACCATTCTGGGGAATACAAAGGGCTGTGACAGGCTTCTGATTAGTTAGGGAAAGGTCTTGTGGAATTTTGAGGGATAAGGAAATCATTTCTGCAAGTTCCATTGTTAAATCTTTTCGCTGACAAAGGTTACAAGGTAGAGTTATTTTTGGTCATCACTGGTAAACATGGGTTAACTAAGGACACTGACATAGAGTATGTACTACCTTAAGAGCGATAGGGTCAAGGAGCTTGGGGATGACTGTATCCCATCTACAATGTCTTTAACTCTTAGCATGTACACTCTCAACAAAAACTTCTCCAACACCTGGGCACGATGGATGTGAGAATGAGCAGAATGGGGCTTGTCTTCTTGGAATGGTTTTAGATTCTTCGTTCATTTTTCATATTTCATTGTTCTTATAGCGTCCGAGAAGCTTTTGGTGATAGTGTACAGTACAGTAAAGGCAGTCCATGGTTTATGAACTTAATTTATTCCAGAAAATGTGTTTGCAAAATGGGACAATCCCGTTGAAATAATTATATAAATAATTAATTGCTCATCAGATGTAAGTGAAAACATTTCTAAATTAAAATATTAATAAATACACAGCTATCAAACAAAAATTAATAAATTTATATTATAAATCATAATACTGTAATACATTATCTATAAAATAAAACACAATTTAAGTAATTATCACCTGTTGTTAATGGTTAATACAGTAAATGATAAACAAAAACAAATAATGGTAGAGTACAAGTAATTCATGAGAACACCTCCATCACCAGGAGGAGTTGCTCAATGTCGTTCTTTTTTTCCACAGATGTTCATATTCTTATAGTAAGTATTTTAAAAGGTGACGACTTTTTATTTTAATTATACAAATTTTATTTTTTATTTTTCTCTACCTACGATCATAAATCACCTATAGTGGGCAGGGCATGAAGGAATACTCAGTGTCAGATGTACCTACACATCCCCAAACTGCAGCTTATTAAACTAAAGGAACTTAAGAGACTTAATTGACAATGAAACGGTGCCCAATTCTAGCCATCCCCTTGTCATGGGGGACTTCATTTATGGCGAAATTGATTGGAGAAATAAAACCATGCCAAATGACTTCAATAATTCCACTACCCTTTTTGCAAAAACCCTGAGACTCATTACAGAGGGGAGCAAATACCCAAACTGCTGGACCTCATCATAACTAACAAGAAGGGTATGGTGGCCATCCAAAGTAAATATTGTCAGCTCTTTTCTGACTCTTCAACTACAATGTACTCCTGTTCATTATTTATCAAACTCTGTCCAAATTTTCTCAACCCAAATGGACATTCTGGTCTGTGTCTGGTACATCTGTAACTCTGGTCACCATATTTAGGTCACCCAGGTTACTCTGAGAAACCCAACCTACCTGGACATTCCTGAGGACATCCTCGAACTGCGTCCTCTGTGCCTGGATGGTTTTGTCCCGTTGGTGCATCTGTTTGCGCAGCTCCGTGATGATGCTCTCCCGCTGCTCCAGCAGCCGCGTCAGCTCCATCTGTTGCAGAGACACTCTCAGCTGGTGGTTATGTGAGGAGGGGGAGGGGGGGGTGGACAGGTGGCACGGCAAGGTGAGAGGTCTAGGTGAGACTGTCAGCTGGTGAGCAGGTGAGGAGGGGGAAGGGTAGGACAGAGCAGGGCAGGAGGCTTAGGTGAGGCTGTCAGCTAGTGGGCAGGTGAGGTTAGGAGTAGGGTGACATTTTTTTTTATGGGGATTAGCCCACCTGGGCACAGGTCACTGACCCACATCGGGGCCTACGGGGCGAAATAATAATAATAATAATAATAATAATAATAATAATAATAATAATAATAATAATAATAATAATAATAATAATAATAATAATAATAATAATAATAATAATAATAATAAACCACAAAGAAATACAAAAATGAAAAAAAAAATCAAGAGTGCGAAACAATATATGTATGTTGTGTTGTCAAGGTAAGAGAAACAATTGAGACCCTGCAATTGTGTGTAAATGAGGCAGAAAGTCAGGTCAGCAACCTGGGACTTGGTCACAATTTTCGTTATGCCATATGGCAGCAGGGTCTACCATTAGACAATACATTATGCTTCCAATATCTTCTCAGGCAGTAGTACCTCCCTGTTTGGTAGCTGCCTACTACCTGTGGTCTTAAGGTAAGGGAGGAACTGATCTAAATGGAGGAACATAAGGTGCAGGAGGAGTTACTGGCTCACACCTCACCAAACACATGCAGTATAACACACAACTGATGAAGCTTATTCACTGATAATGATAATAATGAAGTTATTACATTATGCTAAATTATAAAACTGTATATAATCAAAATACAGAAGTTTACAATGGTGGTATTTATGAGACAATAGCCACTATAATCACGTAACGAATGTAAATTTTAAAGCATTACTCAATACAGTTCTGTATAGTTATTAACTCTCAGAATACAGGGGTAATTCAAAACCATGGGACCAGAATAGCCAGGAGTGCAATGGTAAGGTTCATCCTGTGATTCTCAGTGCCAGTGATCAATTGTAAGTGTCATTAAAAAAAGAGTAAAATCTGTTGTTGTCACTGGCTATAAATGCAACATTAACTGGACACTTCCTTAATTACCAGAAAGTGTTGTGACGGCACCGAGTGTGAGCTCTTTCAAGACCAGACTTGACCAACATTGGAGCAGGTTCAGATACTTTCAGGAGCCGGTGCATAGTACTTGCCAATACCATAGTACGTAACAGAGACGTGACCGATTGCCCAAGCGGCTAACGAGCCGATCAGTGGTGAAGAGGAAAAGAGAAAATAAAACAAAAAAGAATGTGAATTGTTGACCTACTATACCTTCTCTGCCTCGAGTGCCTGGCGGGCGAGGGAGAGGTGGAGCAGCTCCTGCTTAACTGATGCCGTCGTGGCTTCAACCAAGTCTGAGGGTCGGGGTCCATGACTGCCCCGTGAGGAAGGGTCCAACTCCTGTCAGGATCAACCCAAGTTAGTTAAGATACAGAAGGAAGAATGAGTTTTGTTATAGCTAAACCCTTTATGTACATTTTCAATTAAAACACCAATACAGTGATTAAGTTAAAATGTAGTCTAAAATTGTATGACTTGATTTGGAAATCACAATACTAATTGTTTCAGAATGTTTAAAATTTGTCACTGAACAATAAATTGGGTACGCGATTCATAGTTCATTAAATCCAATATGAATAACTGTAATATTTGAATAACTTCAAAATATGCCTTGCAGTATCAGAAAAATCAAGCCCAATTAAACAGAAAAAGTATGTAATTATCATACCTTGCACGACGTGATGTTTCTCAAAACCAAAGTGACAAACTGTATATACCCCAGGCGACACTTGACAGTGCTAAGAGGCAAAACATGCAACATGCCAGTTAGTACAGTACTGCTCACGCTGACAAGAAGACAGTCAGATAAGGAAAAACAGATTATTTGTAACTATCTCTACATACCAGAAAGGTGTAGCTCACAGGAATAAATAATAAAGTAGTCATGCAAATACCTGCCTTGCTGTGTTATTTTAAACTATTATTTTCTAATAAAACATGCATATAAAAACAATGATAAAAAATAAAATAAAATTTTGGTAATTGAAGTGTTAGTCTTCCCCGTTTCTTTATGGTCTCTTCATTTATGGCAGAACCAACAGTTTTATTTTCTCACCAACGTCATGAAGGTGCGATCCCACACAGCCAGACCTGCCAACACGGTGCTTCAAACACACGTCAGTCACTAGAGCGGTAACACTAGAATTACCAAGATTGAAAATAATCATCACGCTGTATCTCTTTAAAGATTAACGAGAACAAATACAAATACAAAAAAGTTTTAAGGATATAAAAGAACCAAAGGCAGTGAGACAGAAAACTGTCCTTCCCAACACCGCCATCTGGGATGTAACTGTCAGCTGAGGTTTGATCTCACTTCCAACATCAACTTTACATTCCCATCCTTCACATTTCTCATGCATCACAAAGAGGATCTGACCCAGAGAATTTAAGTCACCGAACACTAGCATATCACTACAGTACATGCATGTCTGCAGTCAACCAGTCAATAGTCTCAAAGTTGATGGAAGTCCTTACATTAATGATGTCTCAGTTTATTTCAGGATTGACAAATGTTACCGTGCTATCAGTGTACCTTTCAAGGTCCAGTACAGTCTCCGCTTGCAGTTCAGGGAATCATTGATCTACAAAAACTGACTTTACAGAAAAGGAAATGCAGGTAATATATTGTACACTATGAACTGTCGCAAAGAACTTCGTGCTTGGTGCTACCCTCCACGAAAAACACTAAATAAAGCTTTTAGAAGACTACAGGTCCTCACAGGATGCTTTGGGCGATTAAATTAGGCTAGAACTATGAGGGCGGCAGGACATACTTATGAGTTAACTACTTGTTGGGTAAATAAGCCTTAGGGTAGGATTGTGGCGTTAAGGAGCGGCTACTGACGCGGGTGAGAGCGACTAGTACCTGGCGAGAGTGACGCTTGTGGGAGTAACCGCTGCGGCTCCTGAGACAGGTGGAATCTTTGGAACCTGTTTGGTGATCCCTCGTCGACTTTTTTCTCGAAAAATTTTCCCTGTTAGGATCTTCCCTAATGTGGGCATCTCGGTGAGTTTTCTCCTTGGTGTGGGAGGTTTTGGTGGGGCTGTCCTTGGTGTGGGAGGTTTTGGTGGGGCTGTCCTTGTTATGCGATGTTCTGGCGGGGCTGTCCTTGCTGTGGGTTGTTTTGGCGGGGCTGTCCTTGCTGTGGGTTGTTTTGGTGGGGCTGTTCTTGCCAGAAGAGAGGCTTGTCGTAATTTGGTTGGCTGGTGTGTTGATACTTGAGGTGTTGGTGTTAGGGGTGATTGTAGTGTGGGTATTCCTGGTGGTACAGACGCCGCGACTCTCCACCTCCGTTGTGCTCTGCAGCTGCAACACCACCAAGGGTCACTAACACCCCTAGCCAAGAACATCATACTGGCACTTACGCTACAAAGCTAAATAAATACAAACGACAAGACTGCGTTTATTAAATCCTAAACTAATCTTAAGTGAGAGCTGTTAAACAGGTTCTACAGTATGTAATGATCTAAGGATTAATTTTATAGTTTCCTTCAGAACATTGAGGACCACTGTGTGATTGTGGCGAGGCATGAGACGTATTACTGTGTGAGGGCGGCCATAGAGCAACACGGTGAGTGGATACGCCTACCACTACGAGGTGCAAATTGAGGGCCTGGGTAAGGGACTCCTGACGTTCACCGTTTAAGCTAAAATAACAACAAATAAATATTGCGTGTCGAAAGATTTTTTGTAATGCGATACAGCTAATTTTATAACACCTGAACCTTGTTGTATTAGATGGCTCAAATAATATATCATATACCAGGGGAAAAAAAAAACACCTCACTCTATTGTATTAAAATCACCGCGACATTTACCAGTAGCCCACGCATTACTACCACCTTTCACAGATGGGGAAACACTGCCAGGATCCCCTAAACCTTTAACCACCTTCTTTATAATGACTCTAGCTTTAAATATCATCCTTAAATGGTTATAACTTTAACCTCGTCCTTATAGGGTTGTACCTTAAACCATCATCTTCGAAGGGTTAAACTTACCACGACAATAACCACCAACTTGTATAATATTATTGATAGCCACAGACAACCCTAAACACTGGAGCGACAATGCTAAGCGAGAACCTAGTGAATGGTGGTCCTCCGTGTAAGTAGTGAAGACGCTTAACTAAGTGTGTAAGAAACGAAGGCTTAGCGAACCTTATTTGACAACCCTGACAATAATAGCACCCATAACTATGCGCCATTATGATGATTACTGTTGGTCATGGTACTGGCGACCCTGGGATTGTCTTCAGACGTCTTTATGAGTAATGTTGGTCCACACGTCCACTAGAGTCAAGAAAGTGGTAGAATCATCACTCACACTACCACTAGAGTCAAGAAAGTGGTAGAATCATCACTCACACTACCACTAGAGTCAAGAAAGTGGTAGAATCATCACTCACACTACCACTAGAGTCAAGAAAGTGGTAGAATCATCACTCACACTACCACTAGAGTCAAGAAAGTGGTAGAATCATCACTCACACAACTAGAGTCAAGAAAGTGGTAGAATCATCACTCACACACCCACTAGACGCAATAAAGTGGTAGAATCATCACTCACTCACACACTAGAGGCAGGTAAGTGGGTGTAAGTGTGACATAGTGGGTGTAGGTGTGACACAGTGGGTGTAGGTGTGACAGTGGGTGTAGGTGTGACACAGTGGGTATAGGTGTGACACAGTGGGTATAGGTGTGACACAGTGGGTGTAGGTGTGACACAGTGGGTGTAGGTGTGACACAGTGGGTGTGTAGGTGTGACACAGTGGGTGTAGGTGTGACACAGTGGGTGTAGGTGTGACACAGTGGGTGTAGGTGTGACACAGTGGGTGTAGGTGTGACACAGTGGGTGTAGGTGTGACACAGTGGGTGTAGGTGTGACACAGTGGGTGTAGGTGTGACACAGTGGGTGACACAGTGGGTGTAGGTGTGTGACACAGTGGGTGTAGGTGTGACACAGTGGGTGACACAGTGGGTGACAGTGGGTGTAGGTGTGACACAGTGGGTGTACACAGTGGGTGTAGGCACACACAGTGGGTGTAGGTGTGACACAGTGGGTGTAGGTGTGACACAGTGGGTGTATGTGACACAGTAGGTGACACAGTGGGTGTAGGTGTGGTAGGTGTGACACAGTGGGTGTGTAGGGTGTGACACAGTGGGTGTAGATGTGACACAGTGGGTCACGGTACACAGTGGGTGTAGGTGTGACACAGTGGGTGTGATGGTGGTGACACAGTGGGTGTAGATGACACAGTGGGCGTAGATGTGACACAGTGGGTGTAGGTGGTAGAGGGTGTGTAGGTGTGACACAGTGGGTGTAGGTGTGACACAGTGGGTGTAGTGGTGTGACACAGTGGGTGTAGATGTGTGGGTGTAGACACAGTGGGTGTAGGTGTGACACAGTGGGTGTAGGTGTGACACAGTGGGTGTAGGTGTGACACAGTGGGTGTAGGTGTGACACAGTGGGTGTAGGTGTGACACAGTGGGTGTAGGTGTGACACAGTGGGTGTAGGTGTGACACAGTGGGTGTAGATGTGACACAGTGGGTGTAGGTGTGACACAGTGGGTGTAGATGTGACAGTGGGTGTAAGTGTGACACAGTGGGTGTGGTGTGACACAGTGGGTGTAGGTGTGACACAGTGGGTGTGGTGTGACACAGTGGGTGTGGGTGTGACACAGTGGGTGTAGGTGTGTGACACAGTGGGTGTAGGTGTGACACAGTGGGTGTGAGGTGTGACACAGTGGGTGTGGTGTGACACAGTGGGTGTAGGTGTGACACAGTGGGTGTAGGTGTGACACAGTGGGTGCACACAGTGGGTGTAGGTGTGACACAGTGGGTGTAGGTGTGACACAGTGGGTGTAGAACACAGTGGGTGTAGATGTGACACAGTGGGTGTAGGTGTGACACAGTGGGTGTGGTGTGTGTGACACAGTGGGTGTAGGTGTGACACAGTGGGTGTAGATGTGACACAGTGGGTGTGGGTGTGGGTGTGACACAGTGGGTGTGGTGTGACACAGTGGGTGTGGATGTGACACAGTGGGCGTAGATGTGACACAGTGGGTGTAGGTGTGACACAGTGGGTGTAGGTGTGACACAGTGGGTGTAGGTGTGACACAGTGGGTGTAGATGTGACACAGTGGGTGTAGATGTGACACAGTGGGTGTAGATGTGACACAGTGGGTGTAGGTGTGACACAGTGGGTGTAGGTGTGACACAGTGGGTGTAGGTGTGACACAGTGGGTGTAGGTGTGACACAGTGGGTGTAGATGTGACACAGTGGGTGTGTGAGGGGTGTGACACAGTGGGTGTAGGTGTGACACACAGTGGGTGT